AGCATACAATGAATAATTATAGATTTTGGCTCAGCATCTGTTTTAAAAACAAGTTTAACCAGAGTTTAATAACTCTTTACATAGTTTCTAGTTTTCTACTTTTTCTCAATTCCTAAATGTTGTTAATGCAGATGTTTACGTGTACAGATTCCCTGATAAATACTTTAAACATGGGAGCGTGAAATGTAAATTAATTGACCAATCCCAATAGTCCCTCATATCCCACATACACTGTCTTGATAGGCCACAATGACCATCTCTCAGTCACAGCTGAATTTCATAGAGCACATTCCTTCTTGTTTTTAAAATTTCCCAGTGGAAACTTCCCTACCACCTTAAACCACGAATAAAGGCTTAGGCCCACGTCGCTGGCTTTCTCTCTTACTTTTTACCCACAGGCTTTAGTGGGGCATGTATATCCCTGATGTTTGCCCCATTCCCTCCAGCCTGTGATCTGGCTCCTCTTCTTTCTCATATCTGTAAATAGCACAGATGCTGTGGTGATTCCACATGCTTTTTTCTTGCCTCCTCTATATCTCACCTGACTGAGTCACTTAAACTTAACTTCTGACCTCGTCTAGGCTGTCCTAGGAAGTGAATGTCTTGGTAGGAATAAAAAGGGGGAACATCAGACAAGAATCACAAAGGAACCTGACACATAAGCAAATTTCAAAAAAGATGGACATCTATTTACAGATCTGACGCTTCAGTATTAGACCATCTCTTAGGACAAGTATCCTGTGAACAGCTCTCTGTGAACAACCGAAGCTGTTCCCCAGGTGTTTCATCAATGCAAGTGCAGAACCAGAGTTTATAGCCACTCTCCAGACAAAAGCTGCACGATCAATGAGGAAGAAAACCAATATATCAAGGACATTTTTATTTGCTGAAAGCATTGGTAATAGGATATCGCAATTATCCTATTAAATGACACTCTAACATATACTTATTCAATAAGAAATATATATAAATTTTTCTATCTGATCATTTATTATAGGAAACATTTTGACTTTGAAAATTCTGCCTGTGAATTTTTACTTTACTCTAAATGCTAGACAGTAAGACTATCCTTGAAGATACATATTAATAATTTTTAAATTTCTAAAGGCAATTGTACAAAGGGAAATGGAGTGATACATAATTAGTATCACATTTAGAGGAAGAAATTAAAGAGTATGGTAGGAGCAACCTAGTAAGGTGTTAATGAATGAGAATTCACATTAACACTAACACATGAGTAAACTATACATGGGGAGTCTGTCATAGAACTATGGCTTAGAATGGTCAAATTCTATGGTATCCATTAGAACGTGAAAATGAAGAGATAAACATTTAGTTGCAATGAGACTCCTATTCATAATAAAATTTCCATAATTTTGATTATCAAAAGTTGTTAATATAAAACATGGGCCTCTGAGTTAATATTTTCTTTGACATGTTGTGATATTCCAGTTATGATTAGAGATATTTTGTCTAAATCATACCAATCTACATCAATCTCCCAGGAATTTGCTTCTGGCCATGTTTTTGTGATTTGGTTTCAAGAATTTCTCAAAGCTAAAATGGCCATTAGGGACATTTGCTTTTAACATTCCTTTTTTTTTTTTTTTCTTTTTGTAACTTTCAAATTATTTCAAAGGTTTTTTTTATATCTTTAAATCTCTTCAGTAAAGTCAAATTTAAAATATTTTATGTCCTTATATTCCACTTGATGTTTTACTATTAAATTGAACCACTATTGATACTTTAAACAGAAACCACAATGTTGGATGACCTAAATTATTTGACTAACATTTAAATTGCATGGATCTGAGCTGCTATTCTTTATGAGAATGTTTTGTTGAGCAAATATACTTATTTCAATCAAAATGGAAAAATAATTTGTTCAATATAATATGACTGATTTTCATTAAACATTATTAAAACTGAAGCATAACAATTAATTTGTTCTAAATTTTTTTCTTAAATATAAGTCAAACATTCTACTTCTTTCAACCTCTATTATACTTGTATCATGACAATATCTATCTGACCATGTTCTGTTTATATAGTAACCTTATTTACTATAAATTTTAAAATAGTGTTTTTAACATAGTACTACATCATGGGGTTAAAAATTCAAAAAAATTTTTTTCTTTTTTATCAAACTTTGGATTGACTATGTTTTAAAAGGAAGAGAATTTGACTCATGCAATCACTAGAATGATGCAGGAAAAAGTCTATAGGTTATGAATTTATACTTCACCTTTCAGCCCTGATTTTTGCTTTCAGGCAAACTACTGCCTGAACCACTCAGATTCACTGCACCTGATCTTGTGAATTCTCACAGAACAAGGACTCCATCTGTTGCAATCACTGTGCAGGAAGTACATCAAAATATTCTACCTAAGATACAGGGTCTGATGATAGTTTGACTAACTGGAAGTCTATTTTCTGAGTGTCTCACCTGGATATAATTGTATGAATTCTTCTTTAATGTGAGTTAAAATGCGAGAAAATGAGATCAAACAATAGAATTTGTTTAAAAGCAACCTTTAAACCACCTTCTTTCATATTAACCTCTCAGAAAAGAGTCAATTTAAGGAGTGATTTTAAAGAACTATCAGGAATTACTTAGAGATGAGTTATTTGCATCCAGAAGCATTTAATTCCCAAGATACTAAATAGAATTTTGAAATAAAGGAAATTTTATTTAAAAGAATGTGGAAATACTAATATAAATTTAGAAAGTTATCATAAACTCTCTTCTTTTGGAACAAACTGTGATACTTGTAAAGTGTCCTTCTGATGCCATGTATTCATTTAAGGAACAGTCACTATGCTATGGATGTGTTATTACTTGAAATGATGATGTTAGCAAAAAAGTCTAAGGCCTATTCCTTGACATATGGAACTTAAAAGTTGTGGGAGTAATGTGACAATAATAAAATAATCAAGTAAGTGGAATGACAGTATAATATTGACCAAGGTGGTCTTTAAAAAGTACGTTTTTAAAATTATAGGTATCAGTGCTATAAAAAGTGTGTAAAAATGACTTAGGCTGAAGAAATTACAGAGAGCTTTGCAAAGAAAGGAAATTGTTCTTAAACAAGCCCAAAAAACAGAGTGATGAGGAGCTTGTGTTGATATTCATTAGCTGGATGATTACCATGAAATCCCTGAGTTAAATTCAGAGATTTGATGTACAAAATTGGTAATAAGTTACATACATGATCATTTTTAGCAAATCTTTAGTGCTTAAACTGTCTTTGCAAATAGTCTTTCTCGCAAAAACCTTAAAAGAAAATTTCATCAAAAATTAACTGGGGTGATTTTCAAAATAATGAAATGCTATATTCATTTATATGCTCGTTTTTAGTGTTGGACATTTTTTTCTAACAGGATTTTATTTTACTTTTTATTTTATTTATTTATTTATTTATTGTGCTAAGGATCGAACTCATGATCTCACACTTGCAAGGCAGGTGCTTATGCCACTGAGCTAAATCCCCGGCCCTCTAATAAGTTTTTTAATGGACTCATGCTATCACATCCAACATAGGTAGTAACAAAATAAAAGGTGAAAGAGAAAAAGGGAGAGTGAGAGCGAGAGTGGGGGAAGAGAGAGGTGGGGAAGAGAGAGAGAGAGAAATTGTTTAAATATAGAGTTAAACCTCCAATATTTCTTTACATGAGTCTGCTGAGAGTGAGACAGACTTTTTCACTGCCAACCAGACTATGAGAAGTAAAGGAGCTGAGCTCCTGTTAACTGTTCCTGTCACGCTGAGATAGGCTTTCAATAAGTTTACTATTTTAAGAAGTCTTTGTCTGCTATGAGAGAAAGCTAAAGAGAAAACAGTGCCATCTAGACTACTTCTTTTACATTTGTTAAAAGAATTCTTTCAAAATATTCAGCCAGGCATATAAACATAGCTAATAGTTACTGAATTTAAATGGATACATCTGGGTGTGCTCAGATCCACAGCTCCTCAATGTCAAATAGAACAACCACCATAGGAAAAGAGAAAGAAAATATTTAACTACTTGTGGGGCTTAAGTTGAAAGTTTTATATAATACTTATTAAATTTAGCACCTAAGTGATAGTTAACTACTTCAAAGCAAAAACACTGAAATAACAAATACTATTCATTGATTGCTGAATCCTCAGTGAAGTGACCTCAGTGTCAGGTTTAGTACAATAGTAATGGCAGACAATGCGTCCAGATGGAGGAATTCATTATTGTTTCATTTCCATTTCCTTGAGATGAGGAAATCAAAGAAGAACTACCAAACCCTAAATTGATATACATTTGGCACATTCTGAGAAATCTTATATGCTTAATGGCAGAAGCAAGTCTATTGCAAATGGATCCTGGCAAATGGTCAATTTAAGGCAAATGAATTCTGATAAAGGCCAGTTCTGTGTACATGTTTATACACATGCAAACCAGCACTCAGTGTGCTTGGCTGTGAAAACTGAGTAGAAGAAAAGTAAGTCTTAGAGTGACAGTGTTCTTCTTGCCTCAGTAGGGACTAGGGAACAAAGAAACAGGAATAGCAAGAGCACATTAAATTTCTTGAATGCTTGGCATTCCCCCATGAGTTAATCTTATTTAATAAAAAAATGCTTTATAGGAAGAAGTGCTAGCCTTTAGCATAAAAGTCAGACAAAAAAAGAAAAAAGAAGAAATAAAAGCGCATGCATATAATATTTATCTCATCCTGAAACAGAAGGTATTTTCTGTTCCTCAGGAGAAAGGTTGTCACAGTTTTCCTTGTTTGCTTGTTCCAGACCATTTTGGGTACTGACAATGAAACCAGTGTAAAAATAGAAAAAAGAAATTAGTACACTTGGGTTTGAACAATAAGTTCATTCATGGTTGTTTCAGTTTAGAGAACTGTGAGACTTTAGTTACATAGTAGTTGTTAAATAAGAACCAGGCAATGGGATCCAATAAAGGCTTTTAAAAGTGATTTTAAAGACAGGGAAATCCTGTAAGTCACTTCACAGTGAAAGACTGTTCCATGAAGACTAGGATGGTTAGGTAGCCGCAATCTTCCTTCTCAAAAAGAGCAGAATTACTTATAAAACTGAAGGTCCTAAACTACAGCCATGTAAAATAGATGGTTTTCAAGAGACGAAAGAGGTACGTTTTTAAAAAGTATTACTATTTCTTCAACTTTCTGTTCATTCTCCGTTGTGGTTTTCAGCTGACTATCACAGTATAAAAGAAAACTCAGATTCTAGTTTTATTTCTAGAACTAATGTTAAGACAATTGATTTTTTGATCTCTGACCAACCCCTTCAATTATAACAGCTAAGAAACTAGAAAGGAGAGGACCTCAACGGGCAAATTTACTTCAACTTGATATTTTCTAGGGCTCTTGTTCCCATTGATGGTAAAGATCACAACCCAAAGCTACTTCCAGTCGCTCCAACTCCCTACAGTAACACTGCTTTTCAGAGTGCTGTTTTGAGTCTCTCTTTCTTTCTTTTCCTTTATGCTATTGTCATCTGAATGCTTTTAGGGAGAAAAGCAGGTCAGTGCAGTTAGCAGTCTTTCCTCCCCTTTCCCTTCATGCAATTCCCTTGGTGACAGGACTTCTCTACTTTCCCCATTTCTCCATGACAAGAAGGAGCTTAACAACTTGATGTGCTCACATTTTAGTGGGAATTTAAGTTCATCTCTCCTAAACTCACACGTCTTGAACTAGGTACATAATCAACCCTGTAGAGAAATAAATGAGTGAAATGCATAATAATTAAACACCTCCTCTAAGCTCACAGCAAAGCAGGGAGGAAATGTTATTGAAAATTTGAGTACGGCGGCTTCACACTGGTGGACCTGATATTTTATAAACTCTTTTGCCCTAATACTTTGTGTACCATTACCTGGCTGCCCTTGGCATCTCAGCAGGGAGCCTCAGAAATCTCACACTAACCACCTCAGCAATGATGAGTCCTTGAGGCAATAATAGATCGTTTGCATGTTCTTCATATTTTCAGTTATTTAACCTTTAATTTCCAATTTAGTTTTAAGAAGACAGGTCCAGAAAGTGGCTTTTTAATTCCAGTTTCATATTGAATCAATTTATTTCATTTTGCCAATCATAATCTAGTTCTAACAAATTCTTACTAAGCAGTTATATGTGCTCAACAGTATATGTACTAAGCATATGTATAAAATATGTAGTACATATATGTAGTATATGTACTAAGCAGTTATATGTGCACCAGGTTGGATTTTATGGAGACTCATAGGCCTAGACTCACTCTCTGTCAAGAAATTTTCAGCTTTGGGATGGAGTGAGTAACTACTTTTTCCCACTTAGCTACCCACATCAATTCTTTGTTCTGACAGTATTCCTGTTTTTCCTTTGAACCTCATGGGCATCTAAGAAAAGGCCTGGCTAGCCATTTCCCCCATTATCCTCATGATTAGGCTTAAGGGTGAACTTACAACTTCTGTCTCTAAGATAAAAGTTAATGTCAGTATTAGGATGCAAATATCAGAAGATATCCTCTTCCATATAAATAAGCAACAATAAAAAGAAATGATTACAATATAAACCACAGTGTTTTGTTCCCAACAGAGTCAGTGTCAGAAGAAATCTGAAGCAGGAAAAACAAGAGATGGAAAGTAAATGACAGCATATTTTGAACACATTCAGCCACCCCCAACCCTTTTTTGGCTTCTTTTTTTTTAAAAATAATATGTAAAAAATGAAACGCGGACTTTGGTTAATGCATATATTAACTAAATCATGTATCATATATCATTTCTGTGGCCCGAGACAACTCCTTTTCTTTCTTTCTTTCTTTTTTTTTTTTTTTTTTTTTTTTGTCTTTTTCTTTTTGTCCATACCGGGGATCGAACTCAGGAGCGCTTGATTGCAAGGCAGGTGCTTATGCCACTGAGCTAAATCCCCATCCCTCATCTTTTCATTCAATAATAAATGGAAGGGGAGAAGAAGGAAATGTGGTCCCTATGAACTTGTTTGTATATATAAATATTCCAGCCCCAAAGGAAATTTACTGAACCAAAACTGTTAGCAGTGTTCTTCACAGCAACTCCTGTTCTGCTCCTGCCTACTGAAGTCTGAGAATCCACAGCAATGAATGTCGGGTGGTTAGACTCTCCTTTTGCATAGATGCTTCATTTACGTTAATTAATACCTTCAGTTTGAATGTTTGGAGAAGATCCAGACTGGGAATCCAGACTAGATTTGAGTACCTGATGAAAGGAAAACCAGAATGAGGCAGGAATGAGGGGGATGTTACCATCACTCAGTTTCCTCTGAGTCTTTAATGTGGTACAATGGAATGATTCATTCCAGAAAGTATATGTTGAAGTTTAAACCTGATCTCTAGCTTGGTCTGCAGCTTTTTTACTTGTTTCATACTTTAGAGAAACTCTTGACATTCATAAAAGCAATGCTGAGCTCAGAAAGTCAAACCTAAGGAAATCTTTGAAAGGTGAGTAAGTTCAATAGGAGAAGCCAAGAGTCCAATTTTGGAAATGTAAAATATGTCAGTTTGAGGCCAGGTGTGGGAGGATAGGAGGAAGTAAAGCCAAGAGCCAAGACTGAACCAATGAATAATTACTTTTAAAACATCCAAGTTTGGCCAGTTCTTTTGCCCTCTGCAAGCTGCTATTTGTAGTTTGAACTGCTTTCACCTTATCTGGGAGCAACACCACTTGAGCAAGTGACATCTGTTTCCATCCAGCCAGAGAACCTCTTGTCACCAGTGAACTAATGACATAGACAGAGATCCAAATGTTTGTCAGATCTGCCAGGAATCAGTAATTTTTCAGGCTTCAGCAATCTCCTGTGTCCTAGAAAACAATTCCTGTACGTCATGAGAGCTCTGACAGCCACTGTTTATTTTCTCCTCTTAATACAGAGTCAACGTTTTTGCCAATAAGGTCATGGTGGGAATCAAAGCTGAAATACTTATTAAAAATATAATCATGTAAGTGCTGTAAATCATCTTAGAATTGAAAAGTGCTCAGGGCACAAACCAGAAATGATTATGACATTAAGTACAGTTTCAAATTAGATTAGTACATTTTAAAAGGATCCAGGGACCTAGTACATATAAATTTTTTTCAGCTGAATACTGAGTTTTCTAAATAGCAATGCAAGATAATTGAGAACAGGGGTTTTCTGTTTGAGTTACCCAGCTTGATATCAAGCTTAAAATCATTTTCTACAGATGTAAATTAACTTCTCTAATGTTGTTTCCTTTTCTATTAAATCCTAAACAAAGCAGATAATTTCCAGGAATTAAAATACATTAATGAAATAATACAAAGAATATTTTGTATACGGTTAATTATTTCATAAGAAATTAATAAACAATAAGCAACAATAGTAAAACTATCTATGGCTATATGTGTCATTTTACTGTTTAGATAACATGCACAAAAATGAAAAACAAGGAATGACAAGTTATAAATAACAAAAATTCCCTTTTTCTTTGACATATACTTCGCAGTTAAAAATAGAGGATAACTGGTAAAGATAATTCTAAATAATTATCCCGAGGGGCTTTATGCATTTTAGCAGCTACTGAGGAAAGCAAAAGTACACTTGTTGAGATCAGGCAAAAATGAATTACATGTTTACCCTGCTCTGATAATAGCCAAGTGAGGTCCATTACCTTCTAGTAATTTAGGTACTCTTTTATAAATCTCGTGCTTATTAATTGAACGTCCACTGTGTGTTGTCAGTGCACAGACTCTGAAACTCCACCAATGACTGTCACTTGTAATTGTCTGCATTGCAACCTGCAATGAGATCACTGGTCCGATAAAGATTTAGCATCCATTATTTTTCAGTGTAAATTTTTCACTACAGTGCCAAGTATTTTAAATGTGATGTCTGACTCCCTAAAGCACACTTTGTGTACTTAAATTGTCCTGCATTAGAGTATATCTGTGATCTTAACTTTCTTCCACTATAATTTATAATCATCAAAGTTAAAGTCTGCATTTTATACATTCTTTGGTTCTAGTTCAAAACTTCTGCAAAGCAGATGCTAAATAAAGTTGCTTTATACACATTTTATTTTTAAGATTATATTACTTTATATGTGCAGTGCATAATGAATTCAATCCTCTTAGGGAGTGAATATATGTTACATGTCTTAATTGTCTTATATTCCACATATATCTACCCATGAAACCTACAAGGGGAGACAGGTTGTAGCACTTATATAAAATCCTCAGTACCTATGGAAATGTTTTGTTGCCTTTTTTCACTTTAGCTACGAGTGGCCTACTTACCAACAATCCTTTCCTCAGCTGCTACAATACAGTGTGTATACTCCACAAGACTGTGGAGTAGAGTTCATTGGAACACAGCTTTAATCTTGTTTCTATCTGAGGGATCACCATGAAGACGTTTTTTAATGTACATAAACTTTAAATGAAATAGCAGCCTCTTCTCTGGGACAGAGGACAAAAACATAGGCATTTAGGGTGCCTAGGTAAAATGAAATGTTATTTGAAGGAATTTTTACAAGGAAAAATAAACTATGCGTTATTCAGGGTATTATTCTTTTATTTTTTAAAGGACATATGCAGTAATGAGCTAAAGTTTTGCATCATACCTTACATTGTATTACATAAAATTGTACAAGCAGATCAGTTAGTCTAGAGTGACAACTTGTTTTCATTAATATTAAATTGTTGTTTTGGCCCAGGGGTGCTTTATATTTTCAAGATCATGCAGAGGAATATTTTAACATCTGATATATTAGAATATTTAGGGTGATTCTCTACAGAAATAAAGTCATTACAGTATAGCTCAGTTGTAAAAGGAAAAGCAGAAAAGAAAAAAAATCAGATATAAAGGAAAACATTTTAGCTCCTTTATTTATTATCCTCTTGTTTAATAGAAAGGAAACTTTGGGCAAGAAAATATCTAGAAATAATGGCTGGATAGATCACTGAAAAGGCTATCTTAGGGTTTCTGTTGTTTTTGTTGTCGTTGTTTTATCTTAAATATATTCCTTCTTTGTTGCTTTAATTGTGCAAATCAATTATGCAGCAGAATTTTAACATTAAAGTACTCAGGTTCCCTATTATCATCACTAGTAGGCAACAATTACATGGAGTCTTTAATTGTTGAAGTTTATTTTCCCGTGAAATTATTTTTGCAAGAAAATCAAGGAATGTGGCATATAGTTTATCAAGTGCTTATTTATTCAACTGTTCACCCTTAAGCCTTTTCAGAGAAAATGTGTTTTAGGGTATTAGTGCTGGAGTTGAGCTGGAAGAAGTGAGCAAAGCAACAGGAACTCTTCTACCATCTGATGTTACGTCACCGATCACATGAGGAGACACTGAGGTGTGTTGATTAGGCAAAATGATTGTTTTTGCAAGTCTTGATATATTAAGTAAGAGTACAAGTTAAAACATAGAAATTCCAGTTAAATTTGAAAATACAGCAAGCAACTAATAGTTCTTTCCTTATAGACTCATTAAGTGCAAATATTATGGGTATAGAATTTGTTTATTTGAAATTAAAATTTAACTGTTTTCTTTTTTATATTTTATTTTTGAAAAATTTTATAGCTCTCCTACTAAGTCATTTATCATCATGAAGCTTGATTATGAGAATCATATACCTTAAGTGGTTTTATAAATTAAATGAGACACAACTCTAATGCCACACAATATTATATATAGTAAAGCCAGCTGGTTTGATTTGGAGTTTAGTTTTATAAAAAATTTTGTGTACTAGCCCCCTTTTTCCCTTTCTTATTTTATCTTTTCTTCTCTTTTCTTTTTTGATCCTGGGTCTTGCTGTGTAGTTCAGGTTGACCATGAACTCACTATGTAACCCAAACTCATAGTGATCCTCCTGCCTCAGCTTCCAGAATGCTGGAATTGCAGGCATGTGCCATTATGTCCCACTGTATACTGTCTTTTGAGGTTAAAGAAACATTTTACAGATGAGAACAGTCAGATACTTATAAAAATATAAATAAGAAAAACAAAAACATTCAGTAGGACATGAAATCTTTTTAGCATGTATGGTTAGACTAAATTTAAAAGGAAAGACAAAGTATAAAAACAATGAATTTCTACTTTTCCAGATTTTGAAGAGTAAATGCAGAAATCCACAAGTCTATGAGAGTATGTTACATGTTTGGAGTTTTCAAATTCTGGATCCATCAAATGCCTATTATCAGTTAAATTAGACATGGTATTAATTTCTCTATCATGATAAAAGCACTAAAGAAGGGGTTTATTTCAGTTCAGATTCTCCACATTTCCTTAATGTTTTTACTTTTTATCCAGTAGCACCCTATATTGTTTTTATGACAGTCTACAAAGCCTTTGTCACTCTGATATGTCTGAGTTTTGATTGTGTCTCACTTTGACATCCCAGGTTTTACTTTTGCGGTCTGGTGAGCGTTACATCTCTTTCTAAACTGTTGGTCTTTATTCTTTTATCATTTCTTCTCCTGTTTTTTTACACCTTCTGAAATTTTTCACCTTAATTTTGCCTGCCACCAGTTCATTCCTCTTCTTAATTTTGATAATTTCCTTTCTGATATTCATAAATTTATTTTTCTTTATAACTCCCACATTGTTTTCTATTTTGCTCCTAGATCACACCTTGGAAAGAGGACAATTCAGTTATTCTCCTATACTATTTTCCAACACATTTTTCCTGCAGAGTGGGTAGAATTTAATGTTTTCCATATGTAAGTAAGGAAATCGAGGCCTTATTACTTACTCAGAGTGTCCTGTGCTTGCGCCTTG